CCCCAAAACCCCAAAACCCCAAAACCCCTTGTAGCTAAATTAATGAGTATTAATTCCAATCTAAATATTATATTAAATTAATAATAAATATGTTGAGCCGCATATAACTTATTTCTAAAACTTAGCTTAAGACTCAGTCTTAATTACTTAAGAACACTACTTCTAAAATTGTAATAAATCTCAAGTTTCATATATCTAATAGAACTTCGTCTCGAAACTGATCAGAACTATGTCTACTGAGGCTTCTAACGCTCCAGTAGATAAAGCTCCTTCAAAGGGAAGCGCCAAAGCTAATTCAATTGAGGAAGAAGACTATAATCTTAATGAGGAATTAGGAAAAAACACTGGGACAACCTAACAATCCTAAAAATTTGGATAGGGCTATTAAAGAAGGTAATATAATGAGTTTAGCCGTGATTCTTTGACAACAAGGCCTGATATCGACGATTTGATTGAGGCAAGATTTGCAAAATACGAAAGTTAAGGGACTTCCAGTCATTAAAGTATAAGTTCTGGATTATTTAAGAGCTAAAATAAGCAAACATGGGATGATGAAACCTCTAGATGTGCTGAATTACCTGAAGACATCCCAGAGGAGTAATTAGAGATTTTGCAATAAGAGGACAATAAAATTTATGAAAATCTTATCAGTGAAAAAATTTATACTGAGACCCAGATGTATGAGCTCTTGAAAAACTCTACCTCTAGAAAACTTTAAAATGAACTCTTCGACTTAATTAAGAAAAAGATTGACACTGGTGATATCAATAAGGCCAAAGTATTCATGGATAAGCTGAATGAGCTGGGCTCAACCGCATAGATCAATATTGATGAGCTAACTCTCGTACAGATTGAAAAGTTGTTCCTTGAAAGAAAGCAATACTCTGAAGAAGACTTTGTTACAGATACTTTCATCGAGGACATCAAGGAAGGCTTCAAGATAGCAGATTCTGTATTCAAGCAAGACCACATAGAACCAATGACTTAAGAAAGCTTTAGAGATCCAAAAATTCTCTATGATGAGTATAATGAATACTTAGATTTATAACTTCTCGAAGCTGTGAATAGAACTACTCCAAATGACAAGCTAACTCCATAAATTATTCTGGACTAAGAGATAGAATAGCTGGTGGAAGGCTAACCATACTAAGATGAAGTGGAGGAATTCATGGATCAAACGTTTGAGTAGGCTTTGGAAGAATAAATCGATACTATGAGAGATAAAATGATGAAATAAGAAAAGGAGCCCTTCGATATTCCTTATCTTACTGACAGCTATCCAAGATTTGAATAAACTAATGAATAATTGGAAGAAGTCTTAGAGAGCAACAGAAATGAGAGATAATAATATGAGAATAGCTTATAAATGAAGAACTTTGATTAGCTTTCAGACTATTTGAGAGGCAAAGTGGAAATAGACAAGGAAGATGCTGCTAATAACTTAGTTATGTAGATGGATGTTGACGAAGGCTACAATAGCATAATGAGGGAAGAACTCAAAAATCAATTTTCAATGAACTAAATTCTTATCAAGGAAAGCGGTCTTCTCAGATAAAGACTACTTATCCTAGCAAGATAAGCTAAATAATCATTAGGAGTGACATTAAGAAACAAAGAGAAGTTAATGAATCATCTATAAAATACTTCAAAGGATCAAGCCTCAGATGTTGTCCCAAACAAGATATACAATTTCATCAGATTCGAGAAGAATACCTATCAAAGATAACAAGAGTTGAAGAATCTTTATGGTGAGAGAAGTAAGGAAATTTATTTAAAATTATCAACTACTATAGCAATTAAGAGGGATTCTAAGAAGATTAGTGATTTCAATACAGAGATGCAAATTTTAGGGAGAATTTACGAACTTCATAAAGGTAGCCTCAAATAGCGCTCAGAAGCTGTCAATCATATGTTTAAACTCTTCTAGATAATGGAGCAGAATAAAGTTAAACCTGATGTAGATTTCCAAGCTAGAGTAAAAATTATACAATGACAATATATAGCTTTTTGAATATGCAGTATACACAAAGAATAAGGATATGGCGAACAGAAAGCTTAATGAGATTCTCAAGAATCCCTCATAAGAGCATTTAGGATAAATAAACATTGACGCTCTTAAGACCTTCTTCAAGTAATCTCTGAGATAAGACAACTTTGCTGGTGTATGATATCTATATATATAAATCTTTTTTAGCTTGGAAGCATTATGAATTACATCTCGGAAAGAAATCTAAATGTTGCATCATGGCCTCTAGAATAATTTAAAAGTTCTCTCGAATACTATTTAAACTACTCTCCTAATTTGACTAATGTGATGACTTTCACCAGATACTATACTCACATCATGCATAATAGATTGGAAACGCTTTTGAATAAGGAATACAGCTCCAAAACAATTGATTAGCTCAATGATGCCGAGAAGTATGCTCTCAACAGATCACTTTTTAATGGAGTAGAGAGTCTAGTTGATATGAAGCAGTTGTTTAAATACCTGGTGGATTAAGTTGGAAGCAAGAGTGCTGTTGACCCAGTAACTAAGGATGATCTTATGTGGAATTTGATTAACTTCTTCACACAAGATGGTATGAGCGAAGTTCAGAAACTAAGTCAAACAGGTCTCTAGACTATTGATGAGTCAGACATCGCAAAATACATTAAAAATCACATTAGAGATTCCTAGACTTTTGATAGAGCTACAAAACTTGTCATGAGATATAATGATAGCAAGGAAACCACTCTGTAAAATGCAATATTACAGCACCTTAGAGAATTCTAAGCTAACAATAATGGAGAGCTTCCCTTTAGCTTTGAAAAGAATAAACTCAGAACCTCTTATGTTAAACTTAAGACAGCAAGAAAGCAACTCAATACAAAATTCAGTGAGAAAACACTCGAATACTATCTTTATCTGTTTAAGCAACAAAAAATGTGGCCAGAAATCATTGATATTGCAGAAAATTTCAATGAACTTACTCAAACCACTGGAGAGAGTGAAATTAAGTAGCACTATCTTAGCGATGCACTTTTGAGAATTGATTCAAACTAGCACTGTCACAAATTAGTATCAGAGGCAGTTTACGGGGGGAAGGATTTAGCAACTCCAGGCTACATTACATCAATGACCAAGGCATATTTCAAGGATGGTTCTATTAAACATGCTATTGCTTTCTTCTAAGGAAAGATTCAAGAAATATAGGAAATAAAGAAGAAGCGTGAGGATTACTTGGTGGACCTATTTGACTCAGTTTTTAATGACGAGGCATCACAATAGATGAGCTATGAAGAATTTAGAGAAAGATACCATAGAGCTATTAGAATTTCAGAGAAAACAATAAGAGAATCTTACACAGTGAATTAGCTATAGAAAATTCTTGAGGAAAAAGACTATGATTACATTGAAGGTCTATTTTAATACTACATTGTAGATATTGATGAGACTAACTTCTTGAATTAAAAACAGAAATCTAGAAATGACTTTAAACTGGCTCAATTGTAAAGCATGCCAATTCAAGATCTCCTATCTAATCTAATAATTAATGAGGACGAAGTTGAAAGAGTCAAAGATATTAGAGATAGAAAATAAGCACTCTTATCTATGCTAAGATCTAGAGATATTGAAACTCTTATGCATATCAAAGAAGTAATGAAGAATGATGGAGTTAAAATTTTCAGTGAAAAAATGGATAAACATTCTGCTGATGAGCTAAGCCAGATATTCCAAATCTAATCTAAAGAGAAAATTGAAGAAGTTCTTAGGAGGACAGAAGGACTGTATAACTCTGCATATGTTTAAGAGGATGATGTTGATGAATATTAATAAGATATCTAGGAGGCTTCTATGTAATATGCTTTTGAAGAGGTCCTTGCAAAGCCTAATATATCAAGGATGTATGATGGCAAATCAATTAGAGCAATGGCTGATTTGAACAACAAAAAGAGAAGATTCACTTTGATGAGAAAAGATTAGATGAGATTGGACACGCACCTATTAAATTAATATCTCTTTGATGGAGATCTTCAAGATCCAGCAGATCCAGTAAAGAGAATTCAATAAGAGTATAACGATTCAGTAGTATAGCTGAAGGAGGAACTTCTTGAAGCAGTTAATGAAAGAAAGGAAGAAGTGCTGGGTATTGCACTCTAAATCTTCAATAACCTTCAGGACAAGTCACTAAAGACCGTTAGATTAAATGAATTAGAAGATATGGATGCTAATGAAGTTATTAAAGAAAAAGCAATAAATTAAACTCTAGATAAACTTAAAATACTACTCAATGACTCTACTTCACCTCTGTATGCTCTTCTAAAGACAACAGCATTAAGCAAGGGAGAGACTAACTATGATAATTTCAATGAGTTATTAGAAGAACATGAACTCTACGATATTGAGTTTGACATTAAAGCCTAAGCAATGGAGAATGAGTAGTTAGAATCAATGATTAATCTACTTGAGCATACTACTGAATAACTTAAGGAAATATCTAACCATCTCTTGCAAAAATCTTCTGAGGAAGTTTAATTCAAAAAGTTATATGAAAAAGAATATAAAAGAATAAGGGATAATGACAGTAAGCATCTTGAGCAATCACTTGAAGCTATTGTTAAACAGCATTACCAAGAATATCAGTAAGCATTCGAAGAAAACAAGAGAGCTACTGTAGCATAAGAACTAAAAAGAGACTAAAAGCTCTCAGTAATGAGAGACATCTTCACCTTAGAGTATGAGAATCAATTTATTGACAATCTTTTCCCTGCTTTCTACTCTTAAGATCTCATTATCTTCGGTCTAGAGAATAAAATTCCAGAGGCCATAAGATTAGGCGAGCACATGATGAGTCAAAATGACTAAAAGTTGCCTAAGGACATTCAGATTGCAGTTAAAGAGTACCTGTTCTCAAACAGTGAAAAATATCAAGCTGCCATTAAGAATACAGGCCCTATTGATAATCAAAAGTTATACAGATCCCATAAAAATGCTAAAGAAAGCCCAGTAATATTCTCTATGGATGATGAGTACTGGTAAGATTACCTTAAGACAACATGGAAGAGATCTGAACTCTGGAAAGCTCCCTCGTACTATGCTTTCATGCACAAGCAAAATGGAATTGTTGGAGAGGTAATAAATATTCCAACTGAGCAGTAGGTTGAAAAAAACATAAGATACGCTGCTATGCTGTGATAGTGATGGAAATGATACTCTAGTAATTAATTCCTTCTTAATAGCAGCAAATCGATATTTAATTACTTTATACATTTAACTCTATATTTTTACATTTGCATTAACCTATAAAAAAACAAATTCTAAGTCTGGGGTTTTGGGGTTTTGGGGTTTTGGGG